GAGCGGCCGCAGGCCGGAGGCGCATCGGGCTGGAGCCGGTCACGATGCCCCGAAGGAAGCAAAGCCACCCGCAGCCCGTGAAATGCGAGGGGGTCAAAGGTCAGGGGTCAAGGGCCTTGGGGGGGGAGGAGAGAGGGTGGGGTCAGCAGAGTGGGTTTAGGTCAGGGTGGAGGGGGGACTCCCGAGGGGTGGGGTGGGCGATCCGGACTTCCAGCTTCCCTGCGCGGACTAAGGGAACCCGAGAGGGTCAAGGCGTAGGGAAGTGCGGTCCACGAGGGCTGGCTCCCTGGGTGCGGATGATGGGCATGGCTCCTGAGGGAGAATCCACAAGCCCCCTCCCCTCTTCAGTGGATACCGAGGACTCCCTGGACGAAGGACCCGGGGCCCTGGTATTGGAGAGTGATTTGCTGCTAGGCCAGGATCTGGAGTTTGAGGAGGAAGAGGAAGAGGAAGGTGACGGCAACAGCGACCAGCTCATGGGCTTCGAGAGAGACTCTGAAGGTGGGTTTGAGAGACTTGGTTAAGAATTAGTGACCACTGGGGCCCCCGGCTCTTCAGGAGGCAGGTCAGGGTTTGAAGGTAGGTGGTGCTCAAAACACTGCTCCCTACACCGCGGCGGTTATTGACGTTTGAGCTTGATTAGCCCATCAAGTCGCGGAGGTGAAACGCTAGGCTCTGTCCAAAGGTGGTGTGAACGGGAGGGCCAGCGAATCCTGTCGGCTACTAGCTAAAGTAAACCTTTCCTTAGGTGTGGAGGCTCAGGGAAACAACCTTTCTATAAGTCCTGCAAGCTAGTACTTATGTCTAATCTGGCTCCCTTTCACCTGCAGCATAAGCTGCTTTTGTATTGAGAGGTTTTAGTCTCTGCCCATAAGTATCTTTCCCCATTCCTCTTTGCTGTGATCTTAGCATCATCCTACCCTAATTTGCTTCCCTACCTACCCATTTATGAAGGATGTTTTTGAGTCATTGAAGGAGTCTATAAAAGAATCCATCCTTTAGGCTTACAAGTAGTATTACGTGCATACCTTTCATTGTTTCCACTTTCCTCCAAGTTTGGCCTGACTCTTGAGATGGGTTTTGCTTTATAATCAGATCCACATTAAAATGGGCCTTCATAATATAAAGTGTAGAGAAAGGTTTCAGTCCTCTTCTGTTTGCATTTTTAATCTCTTATCCCTAAATTACTTCATTATACTGTTGCTTGATTGCAGTCTGTGGTTCACTGAGCCTGTGATCCAGGTAGAGGAGCTCGATAACAGCTCACCTTAACTGTCACTAGTTAGAGTCCACGCTTAAAGGTAGATAACTCATGGAATATTCTGGAGTCACTCTATGGGAAACCGAAATCCCTAGGAACTAAAGAGATCATAAAAGCTAAGAGAACAGTAGAACCAAGCAAGTGAGGACACCAGAATTGAAATGGGGGTGGGGGAATTTTGAGCCTGGTCCTACCCGGTGTTGATGTCTCTTCTCCTGTCTGTCTCACCAGGAGACTCTCTGGGGGCCAGGCCTGGGCTTCCCTACGGGCTGAGCGACGACGAGTCTGGGGGCGGCCGGGCACTAAGTGCCGAGAGTGAAGTTGAGGAGCCAGCCAGGGGTCCAGGGGAGGCCAGGGGTGAGAGGCCAGGCCCAGCCTGCCAGCTCTGTGGGGGGCCCACAGGTGAGGGGCCGTGTTGTGGGGCAGGAGGGCCGGGTGGGGGGCCCCCGCTGCCCCCACGGCTACAGTACTCATGCCGCCTCTGCGCCTTCGTGTCCCACTAATCGCGCC